CTAGAAAAATCGTTTAAGCTTATATATAAATATTGAACTGTCCCTTAACAACTGAACACGATGATGACTTATCGTAGTGTTGTTTCTTCCCTTCAGCATGTGACTTGCTCTGACATATTCTCTTCTCAATTAAATATTGAATTTTGTTTTGCTATTTGAGTAATATTCTGGAAAAGAAAACTCGGTCAACATGTCTTCTATGAGCTGCAGACGTGAGCGGATCATGAGACAATGAGCCTGATCTTAATCTATTTGTACAAGTCAAATTAGCATTTATACAGAGCTTGAAAAGAAAAAACAGATGACAAGTTGCATTGATAAAGGGTTTAGTCAGGTCACACGGTGCACCTGTTAACGGTAGGGAGACAGGGTAAGGCCTTGCCTTTGAGCAGCATGTGAAGCAAGACACACAGACTAATAGTTGTGTTGCCTTTTTGTAGTTTTTTTTGTCTGTTTGGCCTCTATTTGTAGTTGTTTTGTGCCTCTTTGTGGCCTCTCTGCAGCTGTTCGGCATCTCTTTGCAGATGTTTGGGTCATGTTGTGGTCATTATGAGTCTCTTTGTAGTTTCTTTGAGTCTCTTTGTGTTATTTCGTCCCTTTTCATAGTCTTTGTGAGTCTCCCTCTGTCTCTCTTTGCAGCTGTTTTATATCTCTTTGTAGTGTTGAATCTCTTCCTGGTTTGGTAAGTGTCCCTTTGAGGGACATTTCGTAGGTGAAGGCCAGGAGGGCCCCTGACACATTGGGCCCCTGCAGTGCAGCAGGAAGTGTGTCTCTGTCTCAGCAGAACTGACACAGTCTGTTTTTTGTTCTTCTGCGTATTAACATTTGTCTGTGTTGGCCAGTCATAATGTCCAGATGGTTGCTGGTTTCGCAGAGTGTTTTCATTCAATGTGGTTGTCAGTTTCTGGTTGATTAAACCATCAGTCTTGTGTCTACAGTGCCAACTAGCTTTGCAGTTTACTTCCAATGCTGAGCCCCATGTTTGTGTATCTGTTCCCCTGTCCCCGGTCTCTCTTCCAGAAGTTCCAGTCTCTCTCTCTCTCTCGATCTTACTCATTTGTTCTGTCTCGTATCACTTAACTGGATCACACTTCCTCCTCCATATCTGGTGACTGAGTCATTTAACTGGAAACACCCACGCACAACACATGCTCATACACACATGCGCTCAAACACACACACACACACACACACACACCCACACAATCTCTGGTACAAAAGTACATAAGTGACTTATGGGAAGTCTCAGAACTTCAATATATTTTGGACTAATTATGAACCAGTGAAAAAAACAATAAACTCAGGATGTTTAAGAGTCAAACTGAAAACGAAAGTAGGAGGAAGCTGACTTGAGGGGAAACAACATATTTCATAACAATATCACTTCAGTTAGTTCCATTTAAAACAATGTAGATTTGATTTGACTTCATTGAAAATGTAAACATTTCAGGTTTTATTGTCTGAGGCTCATATATTGTGGCTTTGTTCATCTTTACATACCAGGCATTGTTCAAACTTACACTTTGTTTAAAATTGAATTCAAGGTTCCAAAGAAAATGCAGAAGTTTAGGGTTGCAAAACTTCAAAGGAAATTCAAGACAAATTTATTAGCTTAAAAGTTCAGTGCACGAACAGTACTTTTCCACCTAGAAATACAGAAAGTTTTGATTTTATGTTACGAGATATTTTCCTGTGAAACTTCTGCCGTCGAACCAACACAGCTGACGTGAACAGAAGTTCATTTGTGGAGCTCAAAGTGAGGAGAAAGAAACATTGTTGTGTCTGTGGATAATCCCAACACATCACTGCTAACATATTTCGTAGGGACTATTTTTGTCATTGAAAGTACTTTCTACCAAAGACGGTTACCCTGGGTTTATCCAGCGTAACCCAGGACATTGCTCTTAGAAAGACACATTACTTATCATATATTTGTCTTAAATTTAATTTTGCAATATTCCCAGCAGCACATATTTTATTCTATTCATCTTGATTGCATTAGTTCGGAGGCAAACATCTCAGAGATAGATTTATCAAAACCTAAGTGGATATAACTGAGACTGTCTGCATGAGTGAGGATATATATTGTGACATATGATCCACATCGTTTTTTAGACCACTTGTGTCTTGGAATTGTTTGCATTTGACTCTCCACTTTTAAAGCCCTTCCTTTTGGCGAACCGACCCTTTTTAAGAAAGTCCTTAACGTGCAAAGGCTGCAGGTGCAATAGATCACATCAGGGCGTGCAGAGGAATGTGCTGACTTTGCAATAACAGAGACACTGAACACATAAAGTAAGTGCTTATATGACAAACAGTGTGAGAACTCGGCTGCTTTTTTGTTCACATGTGTCGGATTATGCGAACACTGCTGGGAAAAGAAAAACAAATGAATGCTGAGCACACTTTGTTTGTTGTTGGTACTTCTATGGTGAGAGTCATCATGAAAACAGAATGCAGTCAGGTAGCATGTAAACACTAAGGTGTACAGTATGTGAAGCATCTGTCAGGGATCCAAAGCATGAATGGCACTTAGTGTTGTGTAATAGGTTATAGGGCTTGGTCAGCTACATACTTATGATATTGTTATATTTAAAGCACATTTAAAAGTATTCTGTTGAATAGAATCAAAGGAGGTTTATCACTTTCTAAATCATCCACACAATGATGTTTCCCCCCCCCCCTAACATGGCACATTTATCCCTTTCAATAATGAGCTCACTATTGCTCCTTGCATGTCTTGTTTTCCTCATGCAGCCCTTCGGCTCATGTATAGCCCGAGTGCCAAACACTGGAGGGCATTGTACAGTAAAAGCACACAGGGTTGCCTGTTTGAAGGCAATGATTTCATAAGAACATCAGAGCTGCTGTGTTTACATCGTTAGTGTCTATCTGCTGCCATCTAGTGGCCGTCGAGGAGGCGTGTGGATGTGTGCAGTCCAGTTTAAAAAAACTCTATAAAGTGCAGAAAATTATGACATTATTAATTGTTGTAAATTTAAGATGACGTATATGTACAGTTTCCCGGGAATTTAAATTGGGAAAAGAAAAGTTCCTCTCTTAGTCCAGGTATGAAAAGGGTTTTTCAGGGTAAACAGGTGGATTACAGAGAAGGTTTGATGAGGTAATCTAGTCCTTCATTTTCCACCTGGAGGGGAATTCCTTAACTGCTACCTCTTAAATCACAAACCAGGGACTTACTGTAAGTAATGGTGTTACTATAATATGATGACAGATTTTTGACGTGACTTAATACTTCGCAACACTTGCCTTAAGATCAGAAAATAAGTGAGGAACAAAAGAGATGAGCAGTGGCGGCTGGTCAATAGAGGGCGCTATAGGGCGCCGCCCCACCTTGAGCCACAACAAATAAAATAAATAACAATAAACTATACAAATTGTCAATATTTGCGTTTTTGAAATATGGAATCACCCAGTAATATGTGTAAAATATGATATCTGCGGTAAATATATGCTTTTCCTGCACGTCCTCTCCGCGTGTGCACGTCTCAGCAGCTCTGGGCCTCTGGGGCGCTGGAGAAACTGCCCAAAAGAGGCGGGTCTTATGAAGCAGTTCAGCCAATTGCTAATTAAAGATATAAATGTGTGACATACAATTCAGCCAATCAGCGTCCTCAAATAGATTCAGCAGACTCGATTCTGCCCCAATGGCTGAATCTGGCCCAGTGGCTGATGATCACAGCTGGATCAGCTGTCAGTCGGCTTTAACAGCTGGAGAGACTTTTGATAAGTTTGTGTGTGTTCACGTGATCACTGTACTTAATAACAGTAACTAATAATACTAATAATACTAATAAAGACACACAGTAATCACCACTGTAGAGGTGTTTCTCTCTGTAGTCTGTTAACAAACTGTGTCCTGTGTTCTGTTTATAAGGTCAGGATCCATTTCTACCGGCGGAATGCGATCGTCTTATTTCTGAATTATTTGTGTCTGTACGTTTTGAAATTCAGGAACCGGAATCGGAACCGGAACCGAAACCGGAAAACATCAGCCTGACCTCACAATCAGACAGCAGACTAGCGGGAAAGGGAAGCAGTAACGTTACATGCGAAGCTTCTCCACTAGCTGCACACCAGACAGGTTTGGCTAGCTGGATGACGTCATGCTAATAACTTATTTAGCCGCTAAATGGTCTGCTATGTTAACCAGCTAATGCTAGCTTAGCTAAATATGGGTTAATGCTAAAGGGCTAACAAGTTGCTAGTTAATTCCAATTAAGACAGGATATGACTTGTTTACAATATCAAGTCAAGATACTAATTCAATGCTTTTGCCTGTAAAATGTTGATATACAGAGTAGCATTGATATGTCCATATGTTGAGGAAAATAGCAGTCCTCTGTTAGCATTGTAGAAGCTGAAACCTTAAAAAAAACAAAAAATAATGATAGTCTTAAACTTGGTATCTTCCGCACAATCCATGCAGAAAGTGCATGTTTTTTATGAGAGCAAATAATCATGAAATTTAGAATCAAACTAATATAATATGATTTGTAAGAAAAATACATAAAGTACAATAACTTTTAATAGAAAGCAAAAGAGTTCAGTCTCATTTCCGATGTACAAGTCGACTCAAACCACTAGATGTCAGCCCTTCTTTTTCTGTCTGCACTTTTAATTGGATGACTGATGAACATATGAGTTCATGCCCCACTTCTCTCCCCCTCTCTCTAATGATTCTCTGTCTCTCTCTCTCTCTCTCTCTCTCTCTCAGCCAAAATAACAAAATGCTGACTTCTCAAAGTGCTGTCCGTCAGTATGCCTGTTTCAGCATAGCACTCAAGAGAGCGGGGGAGTAGAGGGAGAGAGAGAGAGAGGAGGGGGGGAGAAGAAGAAAAAAGAGAAACAACTTTCTCTAACTGCAGGCTCTGCCTTGCCGAGGGGCTTCATCACTGCGCTTCTGTGACGGTAGGTGTGAGGCTGCTTCCTTCTGTTGCTCTGTGTATTTTCTTTTTTTTTGTTGGGGGGGGGCCCGCTTAAATCTTCCCCTCTGGGTTACCTGTTTGGGTGGGTGGGCTTCATTTTCTTAAGCTAGACCCCCTCATGTGTGAGACTGTGCATTTGTGTCTGAGATGGGACAAAGCTACAGAATGAATGGGGGACATGGGTGAGCAAATGTTCCTGTGCAGAAGTGTGCTGACTTAATGCTTAACTGGATTTGTTATTATAAATATATCTTGTTTTTATATGCGAGTGTCCAGGCTGATACTCTCCACTTGTGTCACTCGATGGGGGGGCTTCTGCAGGGGGTCAAAACTGACATACTGTCGCTCTCTAATGAAGCTCTCAGTGTGGTATGTGGTGGGGCTGAGCTGCTCATCGCTGTGCCGTTAATTCGTCAGAGGGGATTTGGAGATGTTGTCTCAGTAGGTCGCAGGGTTTGGAAACCGGGAAGGAGGATTAAGTTGGCCCTCCGCCTGCACACCCGTCCAGTTAAGGTCCATTAGTGTTTGACATTTGAGTGTCTGTCACTGGATTTATTCGTCTTTTGGGGACTGATGCCTTAATTGGGGTGAACGATGAAGTTGTATGTAGATGTGACCTTCCTGCAGAGTCAACTCGGTTACAGTGTCAATCTGTGACAACAATCCGTCTCGTGAAACAGCTCCACTTTATGCCGTTCTCTGTGAATATCTGCAGCAGTTCCAAATTTGAGTGACTTTGTTTAACAAATACTGAATTAAACTTTTAAGACTTTCCTTTTGGAGCAAAACCTAAAGTTGTTCTCTGGGTCTCAAAACGTGTTGCTCTAATACAGTCTGGAGGAGCAACCCAAGCCGGGGAGGATTCACACGGCTGGAAGTAGCTGACTTGTGAAGCTAAAATTAAGCTGAGGGCAGATTTGGAATGTTGCACTCGGGCATCAAGACGTGGAGAAGACGACCTGCGGATGGTGACAAATCTTAAGAGCGGTCGGTGGCAGAATGACAACTTGCAGCCTGATCATTTAAAAAAACAAAATAATTAACAAAGAAATCGACCTCTACCTAGCAAAGATCAGGGAAACAGAAAGAGATGACCTCAAAGTTTATTTTCTGCTCCAGTAAAAGCAAAGGCCCTGGCACAGAAGCCGAGTGTAAATCATTCTGGAGCGTTTATGAGTGTACAACCTTTGTCACTGTGAAATCCAAACCCTTGTAATGGTCTTTGACTTATAGAACACACAGTAACTCCATGCTGCTGCGTGTGTCAGTGCACTACTCCTATAGCTCCTTAACGCACGAGGACAATAACAAACCAAACAAGCTCGCATGCAGTGAATCAGGTTTTTACTTCATGTATCGCCAAAATAAGTGCCTTTCCCCCACAGACAGTGTGCTCTTCAAATGACTCCACGAACATGCACCGACTCAGTATGAAGCGCCAGCCTGTGAAATCTGTTGATACTTTAACAGCCGTGACCGAAGTGCCCATGCGCGAAACTCAACAGATGGTTGGAGTGGGAAGACCCGAATTGGTTTCAATAATCAGGGCAGTTGGAGCAGCAGCTGCTTCAGCTCCTGTCGGAGGAAACATGTTCGCTGTGATTTAGAATGGTGGAGCCCAGTTACACCTCGTACAGTCACGTTACAGCTCTGAATATGTCCTCCGCCTGCTGTTCACTACTATTGAAACCTTCACAACAAAGAATTCATGCAGAGGTCAACTTTGTTTGACTTTGACCAAATGGATGTCGGCCAATAGTGGTGCACCGTGTCTAGACACTTACGTGGCATCTCATCCTGCTTCTGATCTGAGTACAGGACATCAGGACACAAAGGCTACGTTCAGACTGCAAGTGAAGCAGATTTGTGTGTCCGACTTGCAAAAATCACATTTTTTTTTCTTTTTTTCTTGCAGTCCAACTTTCTAAAATCAATCAAACTATAATCTGGATTTGCCAAAAAAACAAATGTATTTAAGCTGTCAGTCTGAACAAGGCCCAACTCCTCTGACGGCCCTGTGATAGTCTGCGCAGGTGTTTTCAGTTGTTCTGGTTGATTACACCGGCTCAGGTTGAATGACTCGGTAGTTTCCTCTATTGTGAGCAGCAACTCGATAGTCATTGTGTTGTCTCACAACAGGGATTATTGCGTCTATAATATACAACACATTGTGGGATTGTTAGCACATAGTAGTGTACAGGCCACACTACTATGTTTGTTCCATTGCAGCATTTGAGTGAGGGCACTACTGTGACTCAATTTTAAAATTCTGAATTGGGGCACGAGACTCACAGTTGAGCTTTGAATCTGATTTATCTTATAATCAGTTTCTGATTCAGTTCCAAGTTGGTGAAATGAATTATTGAAGTGAAGCTCACACTCTTGAGTCTTTTATAAGTGAAGATTCACGTCATTATTTCCCAAATACTGAACAGAACATTTGGTCTTGAGTTGAAGTTCTTGCATTGTTTTTGGTTGTGCAGACACAATAAGATACTGGATGACGAGCTACACCTTTCATAGGATTCAGACCCAGTTGATCCAGTATTAGGCTGATTATTTCCGATCTGATGATCTCAGTTCCGAGGAGAAGCTAGCTCACACTCGCTCTCATTCTGCCATTCTCTCAATATTGAGTAGCTGTCATTAACCAACCCTAATGAAATGTAGACGTTTATAACCAGGCTCAGCTGATGTCACGGCTCTCATAAAAACAGCAACTGCAGGTGCAGGAGATGGTTGAGATTTGAATACTGGAAAAAGAAACGTCCCGAGCCAGCTGGCAGCGGCAGGTGACGGCCACCGCTCCCAGTTTGTTGTGGTTTTTATAGAGTTCCTACCGGGACCGCTGGTGACAGATGCACATTCAACGTCCAGTCAGTTTGCCGCTTGGTCGGAGACTTCCTGGCACGTGGAACGTGCCAAATGAAATGTCAAAACAAATGTAAACACAATGGTGGGCCTGGCTGCTTGTCCGCTCACCAGAGGCTTATTTTTTATTATCTGCCAAAGTCCGTGCAACTATTTTATGATAATTTACTGTAAAACAATCAGTGATAAAATAAATTCAGGATTTGGAGTTCCCTAAACAATGCGAGAAGAGGAAATGTACCTTTTTATTATAAGACCCCCAAACCAGTGATCTCTTTCTAAAAGAGTATATGTCAAAGTAGTTAGATCTTCGGTTCGTTGACTGGCGGGCTGCTGGCACGCAGTCGTCTGAGCCCTCACACTTAGCTCAAGTGTCAGAAAACAGCCACGCGTTTAACTCAACAATAAGCACGGCTCAAAGGCTCGACGGCCGGCAAATCACATGAGCCTTGTTGGGATGGAGCTCTGGGTCACATTCACTCCTTAAGTCTCAGACGACTCGCTACGTTAAATACAGAAGAAAAGCACTGAGAAACTCTAACAAGCAGGATTGGGAAAGGTTCATTTTTTAACATTTTTGTTACCTGAAAATGGATTTACATGAAGCAGAATAGAACTATTGAGTAAACAAAACAAAAGTTGCTTAAATAAATGAATCTATCAATAAATCGTGGCATGATAAACAAATAAATATTCCATCATTTGATGCTTTACTGTAATATACAACACAACATTAATGTCTGACTGATGAAATTTAATGCATTAGAAATGAAATAAAAACTAAATTCTTTAGTGATGGTTTCCCTCAAGTGAAGATGCTTTTGGTTTAATGTCCCCTCACTGCTAGCTACACAGATTATATTAGCATGGCCCGACAGTGAGGGTTGCCCGACAATAGAGACAGCAGACAGAAAAACATTCACCCCATGAGCAATACATTTATCATTTTTGTTGCATTCGTGATATTTAAATATTGCTGTTACAGGTGTGTTTACTTGCGAGACAATAGTGAAGCAAATTAAGTTGTTCGACTGTTGGACGAAAACTTTGAATAACTCGTCAACATCTCAAACAAACAAAGAAGCAGATGAACCTGAACATAAAACAAAAAGGAAAGTCGAAAGGGAGGCGACGTTAAGGCTGGGAGATACCAATATCTCCTATCTCCATAACATATATATATGACGTATCACTTCACAGTATCTCAATCACTCTAAATATAAGGGGACAAAAAATGGCAGACGTATTTTCAGTTTGGGCGAGCCAAAGCTGATGCCCCCTGGTTGCAGTTTGTGTTGAACCCTGACTATGCACCATCAAGTTGTTTCTTGGTAACGCCATAATAACGTAGGTGATGTAAAGAGTTTAACGTCTGTCCGTTAAGACTCAGAGGCTGTGTTTCATATAACAACGTTTTATCCCACAGCCAGGCTGATCTATATCCTCCACCGGGTGCTTTGAGCTGCAGCCTCCTTCCCCTCATCCTTTTAAATCTGCTTCATCTTCCTCTGCAATCCGGTGTTTGTGTCATTGGCTTTACGCGTTAGAGCCACACAGCGTCGGCGAGGGAAAGTGAGAGAGAAATCCAGAGGTCCTGTCCAAGGAGACGATCTGAAACGTATGCTAACACGCACACCAAGTTGTCATTCTTTGATTCATTAGCAGGTATTGTTTCATCAGCCACATGGTGTGTATCCATCTCCAGTCACAAGCTGTGTGTGTGTGTGTGTGTGTGTGTCCTCTCTAATGAAGTGTAATCTGATCAGTGACTCCAAACAAACAGGCGTTACCTTGAGCAGAACCAGGTTACGGTCCCATAGTTAGTGTGTTCCTGGAGCACGGATGCATAGAGAGAACTAGATACAGCGTCGTCCATGCCTGTGGAAGATGCTCAGCGGTACGTGAAGTAAAAGAAAAAGAGTTTGACCTCCAAGTTTAAAAATTCTGATACAGTTACCCGGATATTCTGGCGATGTTCTGCATCCGTGGGCCTGTGGAGCGAGCACATTAGCGATTTCTTTAACTCCGCCTCCGAGCCCTTGGTCCATTACAGTATTTAGGACGGCAGTTAATTACCATTTCTAGTCATGTTTGGCACATCGTTTTCTGTGATGGGGGGTTATAGACCTTTATGTACTTGTTGCCATCATCACAGATCACAGATGTGATTGGTTCCTGACTGGCTCAATGACGCCACACTCTGTGACCTGAGCTGCGGTGGGTTTTCTTCCTCTGGCCAAGTTGGGATGAAATCTGGACTGAAAATCAAAACATTAGACCTCACAGACCCGATAGCTGTATTACTCATGCTTTGACCCAGAGCCATCACTGCGGGTCTTTATTTCCCAGCTTCAGGGCTCTTCTGTGTACTTTAAACCTGTTTGTCGTTGGGTGTTTTCTCATCACTGGGTGCAGATACAGTCCGGGTGTGTCCACTACTGTATGAGCGAGTGTCCGTCAATGATAAATAAGGGGTTGCACTTTCCACCCCTCTCCATTCTGCTATTCTTAGTCTCTGTGTGGTGAGCTAAGGGTTTAGAGTTACAAAGACTTTGCTCTCTCTCTCTCTCTCTCTCTCTCTCTCTCTCTCTCTCTCTCTTCTGTGCCTCGCTCTAAGTCTTCTCCTTCCAAACAGCGGGACATCAGTAGGTGGGTATTCACCTCTCATGTGCTTTTTAAGGTGAGAATGAAGCTCACGTCGGCGTGCGTCCTGGAGGCCGCTGCTGCATATTTATACTGACTCTGCCCTCCAGAGTATTGCAGATTTGTTTTTGGAAACGCATCTATTATTATCATCACCGCATTATTATTATAAGCTGTCTGAACAAGGCGGTTGATAAGCTCAATGAAGATCATGAAACTGTTTGGTACTCCATGGGGGGTCCCAGGTAAAGTAAGGACAGAGGGATTTCTAATTTTGTCAGATAGTTTGAAAACCTGGGTGCGCCCTGGTGTCCTCAGGGTGAAGGTGGCGACCGTGAGCTGAAATGTCCTCGGTTCACAACCAATACAGTTTGATTTGGACACACTCCAGCCCCTTCCCCACTGGACAAAGACCCACTGAACACCTGCTAACATCTGCCTTTTGTCTTCAGTGGGAAAAGTTACAACCAGCGTTCATTCCTGGGACAAATAACTCAGCAGTAGTCACAGGTCCAGCTATGTTACTTGCATTGAAGTGAATAAATATCTAATATATATTGTCAAATCTATTTCTTCTATGTAGAAATAACTAGTTTCCTTGCTGATGGTCTGGTTTACATGTGGGTCAGAAAAGAGGTGTCTTCAAGATTTACTCACTATATTTCTACTCCACTACATCTCAGAGGGAAATGTTTAACTTCACTACATTTATTTGACAATATTTGTAACTAGTTCGGCTACTTTGTAGAGTCAGATTCAGCCAATAAACTATGACGTGTACTGTATTGAACTAGATTCTGTCGCTGTGGAGAAACTGTGCAGGGAGAGAGCCAGCCCATTTCGGCTCATAATGAAACTATGGCATAACAAATTAGACTTTGGCGGGCCGCCACAGTCTATGGAAAACACTGATATGATACCGTGTAACTTTACTTACACTAATTGTGTTGCTAAGGGATTCAACTCTAAATAAACAGAGGACACGAGAGAGAAAAACAAACTCTGATATCTCAC